CACAACCTAAATCCAAGACCTAAAGCTATAAAACTCTTAGAAGAAAATAGGACGAAAACTTCACAGCATTGAATTTGGCAGTGATTTCCTGGAGATGACACCAAAGGCACAGACAACATAAGAAAAATACGCAAATTGGACTTTGTGAAAAGTTTAAATATTTTTGCGTCTCAAGACAATATAAACAGAGAAAAATAGTAACCCAAGGAAATGAGAAAAACATTTGAAAATCATGTATCTGATAGGGGACCAATATATAGAATGTATAGAGAACTAAAAATGAACAACAAATAAATCCAAAAATGGGCAAAGGACTTTAGTAGATATTTTTCCAAAGAGATATACAAATAGGCAATAAGCACATGGAAAGATGCTGAACATCACTAATCATCGGAGAAAAGCAGATCAAAACTACAAAATATCACCTTACATCCATTAGGAAAACTACTATATATATTTAAAAAAAAAACACAGAAAATAGCAAATACTGGTGAGAATGGAGAGAAACTGGAACCCTTGTGCACTATTGGTGTGAACATGAAATGCTACAGCTATTGTGGAAATCAGCATGATGGTTCTCCCTAAAATGGTAATATGATCCTGTAATTCTGAGGGATATATGCTCAAAAGAAATAAAAGCAAGGTCTTGTAGAGATATTGTTAACCCATTTTCATAGCAGCATTATTCACAATAGCTAAAGTGTGTAAGCAGCCCTGGCCGGGTTGGCTCAGCAGTTAGAGCGTCAGCCCACGGACCGGAGATACCTGAGTTCCGTTCCCACTAAGGGCATGTACCTCGGTTGCAGTTTGTCCCCAGCCCCGGTTGGGGTCGTCTGGGTTGCAGCCAGTCGATGTGTCTCTCTCACATTGATATGTTTCTCTCTCTCTCTCCAGCTCTATCTAAAGATAAATGCAAAAACATCCTTGGGTGAGGATAAAAAAATAAATAAATAAAGTGTGTAAGCAATACAGTGTCCATTGATGAATGAATGGATAAGCAAAATGTATATACACACAATGGAACATTATTCATCCTTAAAAAGGAAACAAATAGGGATGAACCATGTGGACACTATGGTAAGTGAAATAAGCCATCACAAAAAGACAAATATTCTATGATTCCACTTATATGAGGTCCTTTAGAAACAGAAAGTAGAATGGTGATTCCCAGGGGCAGGAGAGAGAAGAGAATGGAAGTTGTTGTTTAATGTGTATCGACTTTCAGTTTTTTTAAGGAAGAAAGAGTTCTGAATGTAGATGGTACTGATGGTTGTACAACATTAGTACCACGGAACTGTACACTTAAAAAGTGTTAAGGGCCCTGGCCGGTTTGGCTCAGCGGTTGGAGCGTCGGCCTGCGGTACAGAGAGACCCGGGTTCGGTTCCCGCTAAGGGCACGTACCTCGGTTGCAGATTGTCCCCGGCCCTGGTTGGTCGTGAGGGTGGCAGCCACTCGATGTGTCCCTTCACATCGATGTTTCTCTCTCTCTCTCTCTTCCTCTCTCTCCCTCCCGCTCTGTCTGAACAAAAAAATGGAAAAATGTCCTCGGGTGGGGATAAAAAAAAAAAAAAAAAAAAAAAGTGTTAAGGTAGTACATTTTATTTTATTTGTATTTTACCTCATTTTTTTAAATTGGGGGGATAAAAGAAATGAACTACTGAGCCATGAAAAGACACGGACAAAACTTAAATGCACATTACTAAGCGGAAGAACTAATCTGAGCGTCTTCACACTGTATGGTTCCAAGCATACAACATTCTGGAAAAGGCAAAGCTATAGAGACAGTATAAAGGTCAGTGGTTGCCAGGGGTTAGCAGGGAAGAAGGGATAAATAGGTGGAGTGCAGAGTATCTGGGGGGCAGAGGAACTATTCTGTATGAACTATAATGGTCCATTTGTGTCATGCCTTGTTCAAAACCCATAGAATGTACATCTCGAGTAAATCCTAATGGAAACTATGGACTTTGGGTGATATTTATGTGTTAATATAGGTTTACTGACTATAACAAATAAACCACATTTGTAACGTATCAATATTGCAAGATGTAGGGAGAGGCTGTGCATGTGTAAGGATGCAGGTTATGTGGGAACCTAAAATAGCTCTAAGACTCCAAGTCTACTAAATTGACATAGGACAACTAAGGTAATCTGTTTTTTCTGGAGTGAAATTTGATAGTTTATGTCTTCAAGGAATGAGTACATTTAATCTTAATTGTCCAAATTTTGTGCAGAATTATTTGTTGTAGTTCCTTTTAATTCTTTAATTTCTGTAGGGTCTGTAGCAATTCCTCCTCATTCATCTCTGATAATGGTGATTTATATCTTCTTTATCTTTTCCTTACTCAGTCTAGCTAGTTTATCAAGTTTATTTACTATTTCAGAAAACAGCCTTTCATTTCATTGATTATTGCCATTGTTTTACTGTTTTCAATTGCATTGATTTCTGCTTTAACCTTTATCATTTCATACTTTATTATTGCTTGAAGTTTAACTGAGGTTTTACTACCTCTTATTTTTTCATGAAAAAAATAAATTAACTTTGTTTCTTTGTATTTAAAGTGCACTTCCTGCCCAGCCAGTGTGGTTCAGTGGATTGAGTATCGTCCCATGGACTGAGAGGTCCTGGTTCAATTCCCAGTCAGGGCACATGCCTGAGTTGTGGGTTCAACACCAGTAGGGAGTGTGCAGGAGGCAGCCAATCGATGTTTCTCTCTGACATCAATGTTTCTACTTCTCTCTCAAAAAAAAAAAAATCAATACAAAATAAATAAAATAAAACAAAATTAAGTACACTTTCTATAGGCATCAGAGTGGAGCTTGTTTTTTATCCAACTTGAGAGTCTCTTTTCTGTTCTTGTGTCTTCTTCTTTGGGGATTCCAATTACACATCCTGCAGTTCACTAATGCTTTGTCCATTTTTTCCCCCTCTCTGTGTCTCATTTAGTTGCTGTTGCTCTGTCTTCCAGTTCATTTGTCTTTTCTTCTGCAGCATCTATTCTGGTATTAACTTCATTTAGTATGCTATTTACTAAACACTGTAGTTTTCCTCTCCAGATGTTCTGTGTCCTTTTAAATCTTCCTCAACGTTCCTTAATATGCTTATTTAGCCTTTTCTCTAATTTCTTGAACATATGGAATCTATTCATAACTCTTACTAATTCTATCATCTGTGACACTTCTGGTTTGTTGGATTCATGTTATCCTTATTATGGGTTATGTTTTCCCGCCTCTTTGCATGCCTAAAATTTTTGAAAGAATGTCTGAAATTGTAAATTGTACCTTATGAGTGCCGTATACTTTGTATTCAAGTGAATATTCTTGACCTTTGTTCTAAGATGTAGTTAAGTTCCTTGGAAATGGCTCATCCTTTAAAGTTTGCATGTCAGCTTTGTCAGGTGGGACTGAACCAGTGCTTACAGAGCGCCTAAGTTTTTTTTCTTTTATCTACACCCAAGGACATTTTTCCATTTTTTTGTTCAGATAGAGTGGGAGGAAGAGAGAGAGAGAAGCATCTACATGAAAAGGACACATCACGTGGCTGCCTCCCGCACGACCAACCAGGGCCAGGGAAAAACTGCAACCAAGGTAAGTGCCTTTAGCGGGAGCCAAACCCGAATCTCTCTGGACCACAGGCCAACACTCTAACCGCTGAGCCAAACCGGCCAGGGCCACAGAGCCTAATTTTAACCAAAGTGGAGGCAATATCCTCTGAGTGGTTTACCACACGTCCTGAGATCTATGATCATGTTCCAACTGGCTGGTGGGATCAGGCACTGCTGTAGGCATGTTTGGTTTCTGGGATAATGCCATCTAATTTTGTTGATTTCCCCAATCTCAGTCTCACATGGGTTTGCTGAACATTCCTTGCTGACATTTGAGGGAGACCCTTAGAGGACCGAGGGCTACTCAGGGCAGCTCTCCCTTCTCTGACACTTTGGCCCTGAACACTAACTGCCTGGGGCTCTCCCAACTCCCAAGGACGTCTCTCACTCAGGGCTGCGTGGAGCTCACATAGGTTCTCCATTTTTGCACCAGGACCTAGAAACGTTCTCAAAGTAGTGGGTGAAGCCAATTGGGAGACTCACTTTGTTTCCCTCTTTCAGGGGTCCCAGTTCTGTGATCCTCCAATCAAAACTCTGAATACCACCGCTCTATAATTTTGCTAAGTTTTTGGTATGGCGCTGGTGGGAAGGTCATCCAGTGCCTCTGAATCCATCAGGGTTGGAGCAGCTCCTCCTCCATCCAGTCTCTGCTAAGAGTGAAGACCTTCAGGTGGGTGACTGCGCTGGCCCAGGCCTACAGCGCTGTGCCTTGAGGAGAGCCAGGCATTTCCTGAGGACACATGTGGGGTGTGAGGTTGTCCAGATGAGAAAGTTGGTAGAAATGGCCTGTGAGGCCTGAGGACTCCATAGACCAAAACTTTTCTGCAGGTGACCAGACTCAAGGAAGCCCCAGGCACAGGCCCAGCAGGCACTGACTTACCAGGCCAAGGCGAGGCCCACCTTCTGCCCCACCAGGAGGAGTCAGGCAACTGCCCTGTGGGATTTCTCAGTCACTCATTCCTGGAAATATTCGTGGTTGGAGTTGACCAATGTCTGGAAAACCCCGAGTCCCACTGCCCCTCACCCCAACAAAATCAGATGAAGTAGTGATCAGTGATGAATGAGTTTATTGGGGTGCCCGCAGAGGTGCTGACAGTGGCGGTCTAGTGACTCAACAGAAAACAAGAGGGAAGGACAAGTGACCCAGGGGCAAGAAAGAGCCTCCTGGGAGGCGAGAGCCCAGGGAAGCAGTAAGTTTGGGGGATCCTGGGAGCAGAGGTCAGATGAGGACAGTGGAGACCTGGTGGGGCCCATCCTGAGTGGAGGGAGCTATCTAACCCTGCTCAGGACCAGACTGAGGGCTGGCTGGAGAACCACAGTCATGGGAGGAGCCTGAGCCAAGCTGGCCCTTGTTGACATGTAGTTCAGCAGCAGGACGTCGGGGCTGAGGTTGGGACTCAGCAGGCCGGGCGGGAGCACACGGGGCGGCAGACCAGGGACACACAGGAGGCCGGGCGGCAGCAGCTGGACTGGCAAGAGGGGCGGGCACAGCAGGAGGAGACGGGCATGCAGCAGCTCGGCCTGCACACAGGCCTGCACACGGGGCGGCAGATGACAGACATGCAGGAGGTGGGTCTGCAGCAGGAGGAGGGTCTGCAGCAGGATGAGAAGCAGGGGGTGGGCTGGCAGCAGGAAGGGACAGGGCAGGGCGCAGGCCCAGAACAGACGGGCATACAGCACATGGGCTTGCAGCAGATGGGCTTGCAGCAGACGGGTGTGCAGCACATGGGCTTGCAGCACATGGACATAAGGCAGGGCTGCTGGCAGGAGGAAGAGGTGCAGCAGGAGGGCTGGCAACAGCTGGGGACACAGCAGGTGGGCTGGCAGCAGCTGGGGACACAGCAGGTGGGCTGGCAGCAGCTGGGGACACAGCAGGTGGGCTGGCAGCAGCTGGGGGCACAGCAGGTGGGCTGACAGCAGCTGGGGACACAGCAGGTGGGCTGGCAGCAGCTGGGGACACAACAGGAGGGTTGGCAGCAGCTGGGCACACAACGGTGGGCCTGGCAGGAAGCTGGGGAAACCGCAGGAGGGCCACAAGCAGCTCTCTGGCAGTCGTCCACCTGCCAGTAGGAGTCAGTTACAAGACTCGGAGGAACCTGGCTGCATCGCGGCTAAGCCATAGCTCAGGTTTCTGTAGCAGACGGACATGGTGACGTGGCCATGGTGGCGTGGGCTGGAGCAGGGTGGCTGTTCCAATTGTGCGTGAGTGTGAGTGTGGTGGGGGTTCCTGAGGCGTTTGGCTTTTATACCCTCCTGGGTGTTTTTTTGTCCCAGCACGTGCTCCCCACTCCCTCCTTTCTTTGTTGAATTTTGGGCTAAAGTCAGGAACCCTCACACTTCCGTTTTTGTTTATAGAAGTTTGCTGCTTGTAAAATGGCCTGTCGGGCTGAAGACTTGTTGACCCCCCGACCTGTGTGTGGTTTCTTAAGCAAACCCCACTGGACGATGCCGAGTCCTGGAAACCTGGCACCTGCATGCACGGCTGGCTCCCCCCCAGGGTTCTCTGGGCACTGCGGTGAGGGTTGGAGTCCCAGAGGCAGGGAACAGGTCAGACACTGGGACACCTCTCTGCTGCTGCCTGCAGGACACCCCCAGGCAGCATTCTGGAGACCGCAACCCCAGCCGTTAGAGAAGCAGGAAGCGGAGGACAGCCCAGAAGGTACAGAGTCCTGGATCTTTGAGCTCCTTTGTCTTACCGAACACGTTCGGATTCACTTCGTTGATACCAAGAAAAGCCAGCTTGAATTTTTAACCAGCCAATTTTTGCCTGAATTATAGATCAAGTGGGAGGTTTACTGACATCATGCACTGTCTCACGCCCGTTAACACGGTCCAATTCTCCCTTCATTCGTGTCGCACTGATTTATTTTCAATCAGTATTCTTACATTTCTCATTATGTGCTTTTTCTGTGTGATTTTATCCAGGTTTGCCTTTTTTATCTTGTTTTGTCAGTCAGGCTTTTTACACACAAATTTGAAATCCAATTGATTATGATCATTCAGAGGTGGGCAAAAATACCAGCCATTATTACCTAAAATACAAATCTTAAGTAAGGATATAAAATAATAGCAACAATAATAATGACAAGGGTACGAATAATTAATACATAAATTATTAATATAAATAAGTAATAAAATAATATGAAATCATAATGACAAAAACAAGCAGAAATTCTGTTTCAGTACGCATAACTGTAAACCTACTTTGCCTCCCCCTGTATTGAACTGAAATTAATTTTTAGTTATTGAATTTTTACTATTCTCCAACCGTCCGAAGCTTTCTTAATTTGCAGGACCCGTTTTTATAGATTCTTAAAGGGGTTTTCCAGTGGACATCATGCCTCGTGAATCGATTGATTTATTTCCTTATGCGAATAGGTATGCCTTTTTATTTCTTTTCCGTGTCTCATTGTGCTGGCAAGATCTCGGTGTGATGCTAACAGTGTCGTGGTGAGGCATCTCTGTCTGTTCCTAGTCTTAGGAAACATGTGTCTTTTACTATTGAATACAGTGTTGGCTGTGAGCTGTCAAGATGCCCTATGACAAGTTAAGGACTTTTTGTTTATTTTCGAGTCACTGTAAAACTTCTTTTAAAAAGTCAAGCGGAGGAACACACTAACTCAGTGTATGAGGTCAGTAGTACCCTTATACCAATCCCGACAAAGACTCTACAAGAAAAAGAAAACTCCAACCAAACATCCCGTATGAACATTGATGAAAAAAAACCTTTCAAACAAAATTACTAGCAAATCAAATTTCAGCCAGTATACTGAAAAGGTTTGACACTGTGGCCAAGAGGGGTGTAATTCCAAAATGCAAGGATGGTTCTACATATGCTAATCGATCTGTCATATACCACATTATCACATGAGGGAAAAAAGACATGATCATTTCAAAGATTCATAACAACCCCCACAGTGGACAAAACTCAACACCCTGTCATTGTAAAAACATGGACAAACAGGTCTGAAAGGAAACGACACATATATGATAATCTATTTAAGAAATATAGAATGAAAACCCCAACAACAGCATGCTCAATGTTGAAAGACTAAAGCTTTGCTCTAAGATCAGGAACAAGGCAAAGATGCTCACTTTTCTTGTTTCATTGATTTTTTGTAGAGAGAGAGAAACTCATGGTTCTGCTGCTTCCGCACGCCCCACACTGCGGATCGGCCCGAACCCCAGCATATCCCTGACCGGGATCAAACAAGGATCTCTAATTCCATGGGATGATGTTCCAATCACCTGAGCCCCGCCGGCTTTGTGCAAGGATGCCCACTTTTTGCCCCACTTCTATCCTCATAGCACTGGAAACGCTACGCGGAAGATAGACAATGAGGAATAAACAGCATCTAAATTGAAAGAAATAAAATAATCTCTGTTCCACAGATGCTATGAATATAATGTAGACAATCCAAAGTTCCACACAATCGGCCAGAATAAATAAATTCACAAAAATAGCAGATATAAGTTGCCACTCTGTACCCTAATAGGAATAGCCTAACATAAAATTATGGAAACCTCATTTACATAATATAAAGAAGACATATCTTTACAAATTACCTTAAACAAGGTAGCCTGCACCATGTAAACTACAAGCATTGTTGAAGAAGTTTAAAACGCACAAATAACTGGAATGGTAGCCATGGCATGATTGAAGAACTATATTGGGTTAATTAATTTAATACTGATGAATCTCTAGATAAAGGGTGAGGGAGGAGGTAAGAGATTAACCAAAGAATTTATATGCCGATAGGCTTGCCCAGGACACAACAATAGGATATGCGCCTTGGGTGGGGCAGGACTGGTGGTGGGGACAGATGGGACATCTGAACACTACTCACATAAAGATAAAAATAAATGAATAAATAAATAACTTAAATAATAAAACTAAATTGAAAATATTGAATCTACCCATGTCCGCTACGATTATGCAATCCCTATCAAATTCTAAATTCTCTTTTGGCGAAATATAAAACCCATCCTAAAAATTCATATGGAATCTTAGGAGACTCTGAATAGCCAAAACAATCTCTAAAAAGAACAAAGCCAAAGGGCTCACACTTCCTGATTTTAAAATGTACTACAAAGCTACAGTAATCAAAAGAGGGTGGTACTGGAATAAAGACATATAGACCCATGGAACAGAAGACAGAGTCCAGAAATAAACCCTCCCACAATCAGTCAAATCATTTCTGACAAGGGCACCAAGTCCACTCAATGGAGAAAAGACAATCTTTTCAACAAATGGTGCTGGGTAAACTAGATATCCCCATGCAAAAGAACTAAGTTAACCCATTACTAAGACCATATACAAGAATTCAGTCAAAATGGATCCACAACCTAAATGCAAGACCTAAAGCTATAAGACTCTTAGAAGAAAATAGGACAAAAACTTCGCAGCATTGAATTTGGCAGTGATTTCCTGGAGATGGCACCAAAGGCACAGACAACATAAGAAAAATACGCAAATTGGACTTTGTGAAAAGTGTAAATATTTTTGCATCCCAAGACAATATAAAGAGAGAAAAATAGTAACCCAAGGAAATGAGAAAAACATTTGAAAATCATGTATCTGATAAGGGACCAATATATAGAATGTATAGAGAACTAAAAACGAACAACAAATAATCCAAAAATGGGTAAAGTACTTTAGTAGATATTTTTCCAAAGAAAATATAGAAATAGGCAATAAGCACATGAAAAGATGCTGAAAATCACTAATCATCGGAGAAAAGCAGATCAAAATTACAAAATATCACCTTACATCCATTAGGAAAACTACTATATATTGAAAAACAAAAAGAAAATAAAAAATACTGGAGAGAATGGAGAGAAACTGGAACCCTAGTGCACTATTGGTGTGAACATGAAATGCTACAGCTACTGTGGAAATCAGCATGATGATTCTCCCTAAAATGGTAATATGATCCTGTAATTCTGAGGGATATATGCTCAAAAGAAATAAAAGCAAGGTCTTGTAGAGATATTGTTATCCCATTTTCATAGCAGCATTATTCACAATAGCTAAAGTGTGTAAGCAGCCCTGGCCAGGTTGGCTCAGAAGTTAGAGCGTCAGCACACGGACCTGAGGGACCTGAGTTCAGTTCCCAGTAAGGGCATGTACCTCGGTTGCAGTTTGTCCCCAGCCCCGGTTGGGGTCGTGTGGGTTGCAGCCAGTCGATGTGTCTCTCTCACATCGATGTTTTTCTCTCTCTCTCTTCCTCCCTCTCTCTCTCCAGCTCTATCTGAAGATAAATGCAAAAATGTCCTTGGGTGAGGATAAAAAAATAAATAAATAAAGTGTGTAAGCAATACAGTGTCCATTGATGAATGAATGGATAAGCAAAACGTATACACACACAATGGAACATTATTTATCCTTAAAGAGGAAACAAATAGGGATGAACCATGTGGACACTATAGTAAGTGAAATAAGCCATCACAAAAAGACAAATATTCTATGATTCCACTTATATGAGGTCCTTTAGAAACAGAAAGTAGAATGGTGATTCCCAGGGGCTGGAGAGAGAAGAGAATGGAAGTTGTTGTTTAATATGTATTGACTTTTAGTTTTTTTTAAGGCAGAAAGAGTTCTGAATGTAGATGGTAGGGATGGTTGTACAACATTAGTACCACCGAACTGTACACTTAAAAAGTGTTAAGGTAGTACATTTTATTTTATTTGTATTTTACCTCATTTTTTTAAATTAGGGGGATAAAAGAAATGAACTACTGAGCCATGAAAAGACACGGACAAAACTTAAATGCACATTACTAAGCGAAAGAACGAATCTGAGCGTCTTCACACTGTATGGTTCCAAGCGTACAACATTCTGGAAAAGGCAAAGCTATAGAGACAGTATAAAGGTCAGTGGTTGCCAGAGGTTAGCAGGGAAGAAGGGATAAATAGGTGGAGTGCAGAGTATCTGGGGGGCAGAGGAACTATTCTGTATGAACTATAATGGTCCATTTGTGTCATGCCTTGTTCAAAACCCATAGAATGTACATCTCGAGTAAATCCTAATGGAAACTATGGACTTTGGGTGATACTTATGTGTTAATATAAGTTCACTGACTATAACAAATAAACCACATTCGTAACGTATCAATATTGCAAAATGTAGGGAGAGGCTGTGCATGTG